GCTAATGTTCTAGTATTTATAGGTCTAGAGACAGATGTTTGTTCAGAGAATGAGAAAAAAAAACGATCTATATTCCATAGAAGCCGAGAACACCCGTTTGGATGACTCATTTTTATTTCTTCGACAGTGTTTTTCTTTTATTCTCACTTCCCATGGTTTAACTGACGAGAAAAGAACAATATGATGTGCGTAGTACTCTAGAAATAGGAATATATTTCGTAACTGTAATGATCTGGAACTTTCTAGAAATTCTATTTTTATTTTTTCTCTTATCTTCGATGAAAAATTGTGCTGTGAAAGAGCATCATGTTTATTAGATAAGTGTAGAATATTAATTTAATGCTCCGACGATATTCATATTACATATTCATAGGAAATAATTTTATATATTATATTTATGTCATTCTCATTTAATAATTATTTTTATAACAAAAAAAAAACCAATAATCTAAAAATGTTTTTTTCCATAAATTCTATAACTAATTCTTATAACAATTATAAAATAAAACAATCGTTATTAAAAGTTATATATTATCGATATTGTTTTTATTCATTTATATTTCGTTGATTCTGTGGATTAGATGCTTGAACATAATGATAACCAACCACTAATAAAAAAACAACTACACCAAGCATATTCGCACAGATACCCAATACCTATTGAAAAGGAAAAACAAATAAACATTTAGCTAAACATTGAACTTCTATTTTACTTGATCACTTTCACGAGCCATCGTTAATAATAATTTGTATATCTGAAAATGTAAATATCATACACAAAAGATATTAACATACAAAATACAAAATTTCAAACAAATGTTGTTTATCAAAAAAAAACACGAAAAGATAATAAAGCATCAAGCTGCCGAAGGAGTTGATGATGGTGCTGATATTGATTTTTGACGTTTAGAATAAGGTGGCGGATCAAGTGTGAAATCAATCCATGGTTGATTGATAGCACGAATTTGATTTTTATGAACTTTATCTGTTGTTATTAAGAAACCAGCATTTTGTTCGATAATTTCAGGAGCAACAAGAAATTCATCAAGTGCTATAGCCTTATCAATAGGTTCATTAGGCATTAAATATGAATAAATATCAAGTTGTCCATCATTTCGTTGACCAATAATTACTTTAAAAAAATGCGTAGGAACAGCAACTTGATTCGAACCAATGACTTGATATTTTACATAGAGTTTATTATCAACTGGATCAAGTCTATAGAAAATATAATGAAAAAATTAAAAAATATTTTATTATTTTTAAATATAAATACAAACCTTGGAAGATACAATGGTCCAGTAAGTATCCATAAACCACCTGTATAATGTTTAACAAGTGCACGAGCATATCTTTCTAAATGTGCCCATTTATCTCGATTAAATCCTTTGCCTACCTATAAATATTTTTAAAGATATTTCGATTTTAATTTAAAAATAAGAAAATATACTTGTGGTGCAATATTCGAAAGAAAAAATGTATTATTCATGCTTTCTTGAGAATGACGATGATCGGCACTAGGAATAAGATGACCACGATCAAAACCAGAACCTTAGAAAAACAAAATTGATTAAATTTAGAAAAGAATTTTTCATTTATTTTACCATAATAATCTTGATTTGTTGAACGAAAAAATGGATGAATATAATTATCTTCTCGGAAGACTGAATTTCCACGATCAACATTATTACCCGGTGTAGTTGTTTCACGTGTCAAATGTTCGATTGTCCATAATGGAACTCGTGTTCGTCGATCATAACTTACTGCAAAGTTAGAATCAAGTCTTCGAATAGTTTGTGTTGATAAATCCGGTGAAAATCGAAGTAATGCACCTTCATTGGCTGGTATTCGTTTATCCCATAGATTTAAATATGTACTTGTTGCAAGAACACCAAGTGCTACACCAGCTGCAAGCGTACCGATGCCTTGAACGTAAGACATTCGTGAATCGCCGTATCATCATCACTGGCCATCGATAACCAAGCGAAAATGAATCATCTTAAGATGACATGCTGAATTCTGAATGGTCAAAAATATAAACTGCAATAATCGAAGATAAATTTATTATAGAAGAACATATAACAAAAAAAAATAGTTATATTTTTGAAAAAAATTATTTTGATAAAAAGAAGATGTCGCTAATATCGAAATTATTTGTAGGACTGAGTAAGACCCTCATCATTTTTAACTTCCTTATTCTGGTTAGTATTATCTCATTATTCATTACTTGATCATGTCTGAACAAACTCAAATTCCACGTGTTCTTTGGGCGCAACAACGTGAAACTGTTCTTTTAACAATAAGTGTACCTGATATTGAAAAAGTAGATGTTAAATTTGAAGAAAATTCTGTTAATTTTCATGGTGAATCAAAAGCGAGCAATTCTAAAAATAGAAATGTTTATGCTGTTAAAATTGATTTATATGAAAAAATAGATCCCGAAGCATGTAAATATGAAAATGTTGGTCAAAAATATTGGCGTTTATTATTGAAAAAAAAAGATTCGACAGCTCCATTTTGGCCACGATTAACCAAAGATAAAGCACGTCTACATTGGTTACAAACTGATTTTGATCATTGGAAAGATGAAAATGAAAGTGATGATGAAAAGCCAGGATTTGATGGTAATTTTCAAGATATGTTCTCGGGAGGTAAGAAAAAAAATGTTCGATCTTTTGTTTATTAAGTTAAAACAATTATAATTTAAGGCATGGGTGGAATGGATGATATGCCAGATATGGGTGATGGTTCAGATGAAGAAGAAGAGGATGATTCCGACGATGAAGAAGCATCACCAACGTCTACTAAAAGTGGTGTAAATGTTGAAGACACACAAAAATCAAAGACATCTAATAATGAACAATAGA